TTGACACAATGACTGACAGTACCTTGTCTTTATTACGGGAACAGTTAAAGGCACTCATCCTGTTCTCAATGGAAACTTGGCTGCCATATGGGACCTTTTCAAAATTCTGAAAGACAGTGATATTGTTGATCAAGATAAAAACTAGGAAAATCTAAAAGGAAGCCAGATTATTAACTCAGAGAAATAAATAACTCTGAAGAACTAATCCGACAAGAAGCAGAATGCTCTCAATTCTTATACTGTAATGGGAATTGAGGGCACATATGTAACACTATCAGGCCAAGAAACAGTTGATTGCATGCTCAAATTTGGTTATAGGAAAAGACTGCTACAAAGGCCATTTAAAAATGACAGCATATATAACACTTTTTCTTCAATGTACTTCATAAACATTAGATATTTAATCCTTACAACACTCCTTCAAGGCAAATGAGTATGTCTGTGTCTGCAGATCAAATGCTGTGCTCACATCTGTGTAAAGCATTGGTGGGAAACCTCCCACCCACAGACTGCACGTGGTTCATCAGGGTTACCCGCTAGCAGGCCATCAGGCACATTTTTTACTTGAGAGTCTGGAGGCATGGAGCCCCGCAGCTCCCAGTGGTCACGGTTCTCAGCCAAAGGCAGCTGCAGAAATCATAGAATACTAGAACTGGAAGGGACTTTGAGGGGTCATCAACTTCAGTTCCCTGCCCTAATGGCAGGGCCATGCACTATCTTCTAGATCAGTGGCTCCCAATTGTTGATACTGGGGACCAGTAAACCCATCCACAAGTTTTTGGAGGACTGGTAACATTTATTTGCATATTCATTAAGCAAATGATGAATATGCAAATAAATTGTGTAGCTGGCCATACCTGTCTGGCGGGTTGTTCCACCCTCCTCTTGGCCCCAATCCCTGCCGCTTTATTGGCTGGCGCCGGCTCCCCTGGCTGCATCCGGTGCAGGGTATTTTGCATCAGTGCGCATGGTGCCCAGCCTTCTCCATGGGTCCTAGCACCCGCTGGATCTAGCCCTAGCACCCGGGAGCATGCCCGTCAGAGACTCCACCGTGGAGGGCTCTCTCCCAAGAGCGCTGCACTCCACAATATGGTGTGCTGCTTCCCCATCACACAAAATAATAGGATCATGCAGGGTAATTTTTCTAAGGACCAGTATTTTTTTTCCTAAGGACCGGTACTAGCCTACGGACCACACTTTGGGAAACGCTGTTCTAGATCATCCCTGACAAGGTCCCTCACCAAAGGCTCTTAAGTAAAGTAAGTTGTCATGGGATAAGAGAGAAGGTCTTTTCATGGATTGATAACTAGTTAAAAGACAGGAAACAAAGGAATAGATGGTAAGTTTTCCATGCCTTCAGACTCTCAAAGGAATAGATGGTAAGAGTGGAGAGGGGGAAACTACTGGGGTCGCCCAAAAGTCAGTCCTGGGATCAATCCTATTCAAATTATTTATAAATGATCTAAACAAAGGGGTAAACAATGCAGTGGCAAAATTTGCAGGTGATAGATTCATGGAGATTCATGGAGATGGCCTGCCAGCGAGTAACCACCAATGGCTTTAGCCACAATGGGTAAGAATGATGTCCCTAGCCTCTGTTTGTCTGAAAATGGGTGACAGGAGAGGGATCATATGAGGATTACCTGCTGTGTTTCCTCCCTCTGGAGCATCTGGTATTGGTTACTGTCAGCAGACAGGATACTGAGCTAAATGAACCTTTGTTCTGATCCAATATGGCTGTTCTTATGACAGATGCTTTCTAACCTGTCTAACCTCATACAACTCTCAAATCATGGAGATACCACAACCTCCCTAGCCAATTTGTTCCAGTGCTTAAGCACCCTAGCGGTTAGGAAGTTTTTCGTAACGTCCAACCTAAATCTTCTATGCTGCAATTTAAGTCCATTGCTTCTTGTCCTATTATCAGACAATTTTTCTCCTTCCTCCTTGTTACATCTTTTTAGATACTTGAAAGCTATGTCCCCTCTCAGTCTTCTCTTTTCCAAACTAAACAAACCCAATTCTTTCGATCTTGCCTCATAGTGAAGTGGTAGCTTTGCCCACACCACTTCCTGCAGCTCCTATTGGCCATAGTCGGTGAACCACAGCCACTGGAAACTGTGGGGTTCTGTGACTATAGACACTCAGCTAAACAAACAGTGTCAAGGCCTGGCAATGGCTAACTCTGACAAACTGTGTCCAGCCAGCACCACAGAGGTTCCCTATCCCTGGTGTAAAGTTTCTGTTGGACCAACCTATGTTAAGATTCTAGAATGTTACAAATAGAAAGTATTGCAATTTTGGCAGCGGTGGATTGGAGGATTAAAAACTTTTGGTTTGATCCAAAAGTAACAACATACTTATGGATTTGATTTAAAATTGCGTTCTTTGGGTATGTACAATGCTTTTAACATATCCTTTTAAAATTAGTCAGCCTTTGGAAGTGACTACTTTGTGAGGCATGAAGGAAAAAGATCTGATGCTTACTGAAGCAATATTTATGGAGGTAATGATCTGTCTTTAGTCATAGGCAAAATGGTTTTACTTCTCTGATACCATGCTAGAAGAACCAAGACAGTCTAAAGAAAAATAGCTACATTTGATCAATGGTATGGAAATGCATTGAAATGGAAGCTATTTTCCTGTCTCCATGCATTTGACTCAATGAATCTCCATTCTTGAAGTTGAGTAGTAGCTTGCCCAACCTTTTAATTTTAACTCAGCAACTGGAAACGTGCAATGTTAAAATGAAAAAGGAACTGGACCAAAGGAAAAAAAGTCTTAATATTTCATATTCCTATAACTTGATAACCCAGGTTTTCTTTTAAATGAAGAATTCCACCTTTGAAGTTCACATTAATACCATACTTCTAGTGATATGATACCTTACAAATAATAGTTCATTAACAGATTCCATCATTGGAGTTCCAAAGTCTTTGTTTAAATCCAAATAATTGAACAGACTTTCAGCCCAGAAATGGATATTTAAAAATTCAAGAAATACTCATTTAAAAGAAAAAGAATACTTTGTTTCATTTGTGAATATTCTAGTGAACTAAGGGCCTGCTTTGACATATGTCTAACTTTGAACTCGTGAATAATTCCATTGACCTCAGTGAAACTAAACATACATTTAAGCATCTTGCCAAATTGGGATCCAATTTATCAGCAGAAATGTTTGCCGAAAGAGCAACTTCTAATATTCAACAAAAGTGGATTTTGCATGTGACTTCACTGATGTTTATATTAGAAAGCTGATTCTAATTGACTCACTCCCATACAGGCATCAAATATTCCATGTCACCTGGATTGAGGGTTGCCAACTTTCTATTGGCAAAAAACTAAAGTCCCTTGTCTTGGCCCACGTCTCATTCCATCCTCTTCCACAATCCTTCATAAGAATGGCCATACTGGGTCAGACCAAAGGTTCATCTAGTCCAGTAGCCTGTCTGCCGACAGTGGCCAGCACCAGGTGCCCCAGAGAGGGTGGACCAAAGACACTGATCAAGTGATTTGTCTCCTGCCATCCTTCTCCAGCCTCTGACAAACAGAGGCCAGGGATACCATTTCTATCCCCTGGCTAATAGCCTTTTATGCACCTAACCTCCATGAAATTATCTAGCTTCTCTTTAAACTCTGTTATAGTCCTAGCCTTCACAGCCTCCTCTGGCAAGGAGTTTCACAGGTTGACTACACACTGTGTGAAGAAGAACTTTCTTCCCTCCTCTCTGGGTTACTTGCTCTTCCCCAACCTTAATCATTGGGCCTAGGCAAGGGATTGGGGTGTAGGAAGAAGCTCAGAGCTGCAACAGAGGTTTGCGGTGTGGAAGGAAGTGCAAACTCTGGGAGGAGACTCAAAGATGGGGCAGGAGGTTGGCTTTGGGAGGGAGTTGGGATGAAGGATGAGGTCCTAACATGAGGCAGAGTGTTTGGGGTGCAGGCTCCAGCTGGGCTGTGCTTACCTCAGGTGGCTCCTGGTTGGCAGCAGAGTGGGGCTAAGGCAGGCTTCCTGCCTGCCCTAATTCCTTGTAGCTACTTGAAGTGACTGGCATGTCTAGCTCCTAGGCACAGGGAAGACCAAATGGCTCTGGCCAATGGTAGTATGTGGAGCTTCCCTGATTGTCCCTGCATCTAGAAGTCACAAGGACATGTCAGCTGCTTCCCATGGACACAGCTGCCTTAGTCCCACTGTGCTACTGACTGGACTGTTATCAGCCCGGTCAGTAGCGCTGACTGGAGCTGCCACTGTTCCTTTTCAACTAGACATTCAGGTCAAAAACTGGATGCCTGGCAACCCTGCTTATATCTCCTCTCAAGAGAGAAAAATCAATCATAAACAAACTACAAACCACAAGTTATTTGCAGAATTTATGTATAAAATAATTTTGAATAAATTTGAAATAAATCAAACTGTTGTCAGTCAATTCAGACAGACCAAAAGACACGTATTTGGTCAGAAGAGTTATTTCAGAATTAAATGATTTCAGCAGCTTTTTTCATTCCTAGACATGTGGTATTTATTTGGCTCACCCTAGGTTTTACCGGTTTGTTTGAAAGGCTCTCAAACATTAGTAAAAAAAACATATATACAACGTTTATTTTTATACGCATACAGATTTCTTCTCTGATCATTAATTATGCAGGTAAAAATGCTCTTCAAAATATTTCTGAAGGTTTGACAGAGGAAATTGACTAAACTCTTAGGTCTTTATATTTTAAAATTTTCCACAATTACTAACACTGGTGGGAGTATTAGTATAGACAAGGTTCAAAGTGGCTGCCAGCATTCTAACCTCTGCAATTTCTAAGCCTGGCCAGAATCTACAACTACACAGTATAGTTGTTGGAACTCTAGTGGCCACAAGAGCCTTCACTTGGCATGCCATTACTCCCTCTGGTGGCGCTAAATCTATGTTAGCCATTAAAGGAAATTTATATTTTAAAAAATCCATACAGCAAAGGCCTAAGAGGAGATTATCTTCTTTCTTTTCCCTCTGTAGCTTGAGAATTACATCCAAGACAATATGAAGAAAGAAATGGTAGAGATCCAGCAAAATGCAGTGCAGAACCAAACTGCAGTAATGCTTGAAATAGGCAATTTACTTAATCAAACAGCTGAAAAAACCCGGAAGTTAACAGATGTTGAAGCTCAAGTAAGTAATGACTTACCATTGACTTCAGTAAGTAAGACTCCCATTGACTTCAGCAGGCTTTAGAGCAACCCATATACAAGGGAATGTCAAAATAGGGAAAATTTAAAATGGTAGTTGCATTTTTTAAACAAATAATATATTTTAAACCACCAAGATATGCCCCAACATAAACTGAACAATCATATTATCTGCATTAACCCCTACTATTATTTCTTCCTGATTGTTCACCTCCAATTTGTAAGGTCACAGCTAAATTAGAATTTTATCTTCTTTGGGATGGGCCCATGTTTGCATTTATTAAACAAATTTATATGCTTTTGAGTACTGTAAAAATAAAAGGAAAAGTTCTCATTTCTGCATTTAATTTCCCCTTTCCCAATCAGTAAGTATCCTCCTTGATAGCATATTCTCTCTGGTGGATACTGTAATGAGATCATAATGAATCTAGGATAATCACAGTCATTTCCACCATGAGATACTAATGCCAGAAGCACATATTTATGATTTCACTGTGAGATGAATCATAACAAGATTAAATGAGTGGGAGAAAGGCTGAGGAATTAAAGGAAGCTACTGGAAAAAAGTAAATGGCAATCTTTTTTTCCCAGTTAACTTCAGTGTGAAAGTCCCACTTCAATTGTGTGGGGATTCCCCTCTCCTCCAAAGAAACTAAGAAGTTCCTATATTAAAAGTGGGAAAACTTTTCAAAATTCCAGCACTGGTTTAAGTTTCAAGACAAATGCATCCACAAGTATGGTCATTACTAAACAACCCCCCCCCCACACACACACCTTCTTTTATCATATTGCTGTAGTTACAAAACAATTTAATAATTATCTAAAATAAAAGACTCTATCACACTATCTCACAATAAGTGGCATGTGTCTTTCAATATAATGAATTTAAAGGTCTTAATTCTTGCTTTAATTAAAAGCATTTGTTCTGCTAGCAGACAAATCAAACTTTTTTTAAGCACAAACACAGTTCTAAATTGAAGAGTAAGATATATAAGGGTGAATCCTGGATTGAAATAAAATGGCTTCATGTATTTTAAAGGCTTCTGTTAACATGGTGGGTAAATTCAAATATATATTTCTATAACAGATATTTAAAATATTTAGCATATTATGCTTCAGAGGTTCAAAGTACTATACAAATATTAACACATATTCACAGCATATGCTGCTATTTATAAACATTATCTGGTTATTTGGAAGATGTAAATTGTCACCTACTTTTTTTTTTTTTTAATTCTGTATGGTAAATTGACGGGTCCATTCAGAACAAGTTACGTATATCTTTATGGCTTCATTACTAAGAGCCAGGTGGATACCTGTGTTTTTTCACTCACTGAGAAACTGTTTTTAATCGATCACAATAAAAATTACCCAACCAGTTTCTGTTTCAAGTAAAAGGACTGTCACTGTAACTTACCTTCTTTTTCTGAAATTACTGTTGAGTAGGTTAAAAGCTTAATTAACAACTTAAAGAAATTAACCAAACAATTTCTCTCTCAAGGACACTCATTCTTTGGCAATAATTCTCAATTACACTTTAGTGTGAAATCATGTCCTGAATGACTGTTTAACATGAAGGATGTGAGTAATCAATTCTTCCTGTAAACTAAAGCCAAATTCTGATGAATAAAAAAAGCTATTCTAAAAGAGAAAACTGATATTGTCTAGAGAACATACATAAGAATGTAACATATCAAAGCATAACTGATCTTCCACGTCACATCACAGTACAATAATTTCTTCACTGATAGATGTAATTCTGAATTAAAAAGTTAGATAAGGAAGTAGTGTAATAAAACTGAAACCATGGAATGAGTCTATAAAAAATTTGGTCATATGGCAAACAGTTCAATTCAAATGATTTTTTTTTCATTGTAAACACATGTGAAATTCTGGTCCCATTAAAGTCAAAGGTAATATTCCAAGGGACTCCAGCACAGCCAGGATTTTGCCCAGTCATATAAAAATAAAATGCTTCATATATTTATACCAAAATGGGGAAAAACATCGTTTAGGAAATTATTTGTAAAGAGCATATACAATAAATGTCAAATACTGTTTTTTGTAATTAGATTCAATGGCAAAGCTAATGGCTTATACAAACACCACTAAAACATTCCTAAGGATAAAGATAAGGGGAAATGTAAACTATTATGCATTTGTTTAATGAACAAACAGAAAACTACAGTAATTCTGAACATTTCCCCCCATGCCTCTAATTAATGCATTCTTGCCCAAATCATGGCATAGATGTATACCGCTCAGATTATATCACAAAAGTGAATGTTTTTATTTTATTTTCTACATGTGATAACTAGTGACGCTAGGATAGATTAAATTAAAACTAGCCAAAAAAACTTAGCCTGGGTTTCCAAAGATTTTTTCTATTTCAGGTATTAAATCAGACATCAAGACTTGAACTTCAGCTTCTGGAACATTCTCTTTCAACCAACAAATTAGAAAGGCAAATTTCAGATCAAACCAATGAAATAACTAAGTTGCAAGAAAAAAACAGGTAAGTTGCAAGCTAAGTTGTCCTTTTAAATATTTTTTTCCTAGATGAAAACATTTCTCTTCTAAAATGATTCTTCTGTAATATTTGCCCCTCTGCCCCTCCCAATATTATTTGGAAAGAAGCTGAAATGGGCTCAGCAATGCAATACCCTTGTTTTGCAAGAAAAATATTGCATTGAAAGAGGAAAATATACAATCATGTCATGACAGTTTTCATAATGAATACACACTGTCCTCGGTTAGAATGATCTATTATGTTAGAGACATGGTAGCCCACAGCTAAAGATTGGTTGGATAAAAAAGGCCAGTTTTATTCAACCCATTATATATACAGTAAAACTCCAATGGTCTGGCATCCAATTGTATGGCACTGCCAATAGTCCGGCATCAAAATGGCAAGAGCCTAGTGAGTGAGCTTTGGCAAAAAACAATTTTTTTAAGTTACTGTATTAATAGTTTAAGTGATTAATAGTTTAAATGGTTAGCCAGTGCTGCACACTACTGTACATAGTATCCTCTGCTTTCTGTATTCAATGGCTTCGCAACAATAATGGTGAGTACTGTACTGTACATTTATTTTTTCATTCTATGACCAAATTTATGCATTACCGTATGTACAATAAAAAGGGTACAAAGGTTAAAAAAACTAAATTACAGTATACTGTATACAGTATGTACAATAAAAAGGGTTAAAAACATTTTATATACAGTATATACTGTCTATATATACACATATATACAGGGCTTGACAAACGGCGGTGAAAGCCACTCACCAGCCCCGCACTGCGCATGCACCAGAGCCACATTGCACATGTGCACGCCACCGGTAAACGGGGTGCGTGACTGAAATCGACTTGCCACAGGTGAGTAGATTCTATAGTTTGTCGAGCCCTGTGTGTGTGTGTGTGTGTGTGTGTGTGTGTGTGTGTGTGTCTGTATAAATAAAAATATAAAAGAGCTTATAGTACCTCCTGATAGTCCGGCATATCCGATAATCCGGCACCACCTAGGTCCCAAAGGTTCCGGATTATCAGAAGTCTACTGCAATAAGAAGGCAACCTTGTTTTCTGCAGGGATTGAAGAGCCAGTTGGCTCAACAGGGCCATAATGCCCCAACTCTGAATAGCATCTGCTCTGAATTCACTGCAGGGCTGAGACACAGAGGCTAGCATCAGCTCTGAATTCACTGCAGGGCTGAGACACAGAAGCATAGTTGCACCCATCTCCCCACCAGCCATCCAGAATATATAAAGGTCATAGCCAAGGAAAGATATCCAGGTTTCAAAGATCTTAACCTACGTCAGACAGGAAACCATCTCTTGGTTAAACAGTCCTAGGAAGTCTCAGATGATATCTACATGTGAAAAGTGATGGCTGTTGTTTTGTTGCCTTAGGGTAAATTTTTCAAGAGTAGAATTTAAGTCCCATAATAAAAAATGACTAAGCATTTATCAGCCTAAATCCCACTGACTTCCAACTAGACAGAGCTGGTCTACACCAGGAATTTACAGAAGCATAGCTGTATCTCTCAGGGGTATGAAAAATCCATATCCCCCAGAGAAGCAACTATACCAAACTAGCGTTTGCTGTTGCAGTTTAAGTGTAGACATACCAAGATCTTAAATGCCCAAGTCAGAGTAAAACTTCCTTTGGGCGCCCAAGTCTGAGAGTTACTTTGTTACTCTCCATCTCTGCCTCAGTATGAGAGAGACTTCTTCATGTTTAAGAGGTCATCAGCCCCTCAACAGCAACAGTCTGGTTAACCACCAAAACAAATCTCCTCAGGGCTCTGCTAGCCCTTATTTTGCCTTGCTGATAGCAAAAAGTATACATCAGCTTCCGAGCCCTTCTAAAACCACCCCCCTGCAGCGTTTCATCACTGGATACTCTCAGAAATGATCAGGTTTGCAGTCCCCAAATAGAACAGCTTATTCAACTTGTTCGAGTCAACTGAGGATTCACACTCTGCTTAATACCAAAGCACTGACACATTTATAATAGAAATCAGAATACATGTATTAAAGCCCAGGGATTCAAAGATTCAAATGTACAGTGAGTAAGAGTATCTTTCCCAGTGTCATCAACCCAGGTGACTGGAATCCACTATTTACAGATACAAAAAAGCACCATTCCATTTGCTTCCTCAGCGATAGGTAACAAAATGTCTTACTTATCTATTAGTGACTGTCCAGTAAAGCTTTGAAGTCTATCCTTTCACAGGGCACTCCCAGATAAAACTCTTCTCCCTCAATCCTCTCCCCAACTTGTTTTCCTGTCTACTCCTTTCCTGTTGACTTCACAAGCCTCTGTTGACTTGGAATGCAAACATAGCTCTCATTGTGTTGTGTTTATCATGCTTAATTTACATGAGAGACAGGGACAAATGACTATACACTACGGATTCGGCAAAAAAATTTGCTTGCTAACTTTACTGTGAGACAGACTTTAATTATTAGTGACCTGTATTTTTCTGGCTTTCATTTGATACCTTATAAAACACTGTTTATGAATCAATACTATGGAAGTGGTATATTACTAATAGGGATGTTAAATTGCAGGTAACAGACTAATCGAATAGTCGATGCATTTTGCATCGACTAGTCAACAGGGCATCTCCGCCTTTGAAGTGTAGAAACAGACCTAGGACTGTTTCTACACTTTAAAAACGAGAGCGCCATGTGAAGCCTGGGGTCAGCTGGGGACTCGTCACTGATACTGGGTTCCGCGCAACGCTGCCACTTTGAAACGCCATCACAGGAGCCCAGTGTCAGGCTCCTCCCGGCATTTCAAAGTGGTAGCACCACGTGGAGCGTGGGCTGATACTGGGCTCCACGTGGTGCTGCTGCTTTGAAATGCTGGGAGGAACCTGATGCTGGGTTCCCGCGATGGCATTTCAAAGTAGCATTGCTGCTTGAAGCCCGGGGTCTGGCCCCAGGTTCCACGTGGTGCTGCCGCTTTGAAGTACCTTTCCTCCTCTCCTCGCTATCTATTTCTGATAAAGGTGGCAAAGGCGGGAGAGCAACTAATCTACAAGTTTGTTGACTATCCGATAAGCATTTGCTTATCCGACAGTCAACTAGTCCTTCACATCCTTAATTACTAGTAGAGAGTTTGTCAAGCCCACCTTTTATAGAAGGGTTGGCTTTGAAGTGTTTGTCAGTTGGTCAAGGAGTTATTAGAGTCAAAATCACTTCTGAGAATTGAACCCTTCTTGACAAACTTTTTGAACCTGCTAACTGCAGCCAAGGTATAAATTCTTCTCAAGGCCCAACAAAGCAAGACACAGGGTTAGAGGACTATCTACTATCGAACTTAACCCAGTCAAAACCTTGTTTCATCTCAGCTAAAAGAAAAGTTGTGTTATTGTCAATTATCTCTTGCATATCCAATGGTGTGCCAACAAAGGTGTCATAGTTTTTTATTAACCACCTTAATTCCGCACATTGTCATTTTAATCTCTGAAGGATGTTATGAGAGGTATGCAACTAGTTTCTAATATGGATGAAGCATAACTGTCAAACCTCAGAAGTTTATTTTAGTTTCAAATAGTAATCATTTGGAGATTAATTTAAAACAGCAATAAAAAAAATAGCAGAATACTTCTGTCTACATCAAAATTATATTTTTCAACAAGAAACTTATGTGAAAAGTATTTTTTAGTTTGAATAAACATTAGCATAAGGAAAAAAGTTGGACAGACATGTTTTGACATTTGTGTTTACTAGCCTGTTATATTTGTGTATGCTCCCTGAAGACTTTATCTACCAACTTTCTACAAACAAGAAACTTTAGCCAATGAGAACAAAGTAAATATTAAATTTTAAAATGTCACTATAGTTTTTTACTACAGTTCCCAGATCTGAGATCTCCGTATAATTACTGAAATGTATAAGAATGATTTGAATGCTGGAAGTGCCAGCATTCAGTTCATCCCTTAAAAAACCGAGGGAGCAGAACAAAATCTCCTTTTGTTTTAAATAAAAAAAAAAAAGAACAATTTGACTATAATCAGAACAAGTTGCATCCTTTTAATCTTCTACATCTCCAGTTCTAGAAAAGGCAACAAGCACATTTTAGGTAACTATATATTCATAGTTTTTTCCAAATAATTACAGAACTGTTTTATATGTTTTCAGGCCAAAGAAGCATTTTATTATACTGGAAAGAAAATAGAAAGTTGAGTACAGGCAGTCCCCGACTTATGTCGGATCCGACTTATGTCGGATCCGCAGTTACGAACGGGGCTGCCCCAGAGTACACGGACTGCGGGACCTCGCGGTCCTGCCGCCCATGTACTCTGGGGCTTTCTCTGCGTCTCCCTGGTCTGCAGACCAGGAAGATGCAGAGCAAAGCCGCGGAGGGGCTCGGGCAGCGGGGCAGCCCTGCTGCCCGAGCCCCCCCACCCCCCACCCCCGCGGCTTTGCAAAGCACGGGGAAGCCGGCGGCGGGGCAGTCCAGGCGCGCCTGGGGTGCCTCGCTGCCCGAGCCCCTCCGCGGCTTTGCTCTGCGTCTTCCTTGTCTGCAGAC